TAGGCCCAAATATCCTCCTCAACACCCGATTCTCAAACACCTGCAATCTGTGTTCCTCCCTCTGAGTGAGAGACCATGTTTCACACCCATACAAAACAACAGGCAAGATTATTGTTTTGTATACTTTAATTTTCAGGATTTTTATTGTGTATCGGTTTGTATAATTGAAAAGGCGTGTTATTTCTTCATACATTTGGAAATATGAGAATAAACTTTTTTTGATGATTCAGATTTTAATAACGTGGCCATTTTTGTCTTCACCAATGTGAGAACCTCTGAACTCACATTTAATTAAAATTTGAACAGTTGCATCTCCACTTCTCTTTATTTAATTATAATTTCTCTGCAGAAATTTATGTTGTTTTCCTTTAAAGAAATGCAAGGGCCAGTATGTAATGAGAGGTAGATGTATATTAAAATGACACTGTGTGTTTCTTTATGAAATATGTTTGCAGATGAAGAAGAACAACAAGTTTCTAACATCTCCGTTGGAGAACAAGATTTCAATTTTATGGATTTTGCTAGAAGGTAAAGTTCAGAAATTGTTTTCTCCTACAGCATGGCACATACTGCTCTGTATTCTTACTGCACTAGAAGTAAAATAGTCTGATTCCATTACAACACCACTCTTTTCCCACCACCAATATTGACAGTAGATTGTAGTTGGTGGTAAAATTAATTTTTCATATTTGGGTACACTTTTTTCTGTTGCTGGGGGTTTGTCGTGCTGACCACACGTCACCCTATATCTGGTTGGATGATCGTTCACCTCTGCTTAGGCATGTGAACGTGAGTCCAGCAGCCAGCTAGTCGGCTTTGGCTCTCTGGAGCTGTTACGCCACGGATTTAATTTAATTTAATTTAATTTTAATTGTAGTTTCATATGATATGAAATAATGCAGGACAGTTAAAGATGAGACAAAGTTGTAGTAATGGTATCATCTTCAGTATATTTTTATAATATCTCATTTTTCAGAGAACAATATTTTCCACTTATTATGTACTGGCTTTGTCACATTTATCTGCTGTCCAAGTACATTTACTTGGTCTGTAATAACTTTCAGTTGCTATTTCATTTTTCACATTCACTTGTCCTATTCAAATAAACACATTGTCAAGGTTTTAAAATTTTCACACATTTCAATCTTTCATTTAAGTTTTCACATATTTCAGCCTTCCATATCTCTTTTCACAGCTCTGACCGGTGGGTATGTGTACTGTCCACAGATCACGAGAAAAACCCTGCTGAGGGAAGTTGTTTCTGGTGCGGTGCGGGGGGAATGTTACTTATCAGCTGGACTAGAGAGCTGTGTGGATTTATTTATTTGTTGTGTGAATTTAAGGTATATTTGGCTTCAGGAACTGAGTAAAATCACAGAAAACTCAGTTAGGATTTTAATGTGGGACCATGTGAATATGGAGCAGTATCTCATCTGCAATGTTAAGTTTCATGGGTTTGGTTATCAGCTGTTTACATATATTACTACAATGACAACACAAGGCAAATAAGTGTATGCATCTCTTAACAAGAGGTACATTTTCCAGAATTCAAAGTTAGACCTTTCAAATGGTGCCGGTAGTGTCAGTTGTCTGTTAATCTTTGTCTTTAATCCCAGTGTCATAGTTCCTATACCAACACCTCCTAATCGTACACTATTATTTATGATGGAAAATACATCAATTGCAACAAAGTGTCAAAATTTATACCAAACTTGTGCTTTGTGTTTCACTCAGGTGTGCTCATTATCGAGTTGTGCAAGCCTGCAGCCTACTATTGAAGCAGTTTGATAAAAATTTAACCCACACTAATCACTGCATCGCGAAGATGTTGCACAGGATAGCGTGGGATTGCAAACTGCCAGCCTTGCTATTCCAGGCATCCCTCTTTCGTACATTCCAGCGTATTCTTGATTCTAAACAGGAGAAGCATAAGGTGAGTGCGGAAGTATAATTGCGTTCCATTCAGGTATTTAAATAAGAACCCTTGCTCTTAGCTCTAACCTGCAGGAAGCCTTTGGTTCATCTGGTGGTCCCATCTCCTAAGTTTCTGCTTGTCAGGAGTACAAGGTTTCAGTTTGAGGTCCCCAGTCCTGACTGCCATATTATAATGTGTCTTTAGACTGTGGATTTCTGACTTGTCAAACTATATACAGTAAAACACCCCTACATCCTGGACACCCCTTTATATTGGACACTTTTACATGTCCACAATACCCTATATCTTGGACACCCCTTTTGTTGTAAGTTGGACAGGTTCATGCACTTAACTTAGATGCTTTTCAGGGAAACTTTTTCAGTTACATATTTTGTTATTTTGAATTTCTGACTGATGAATGCCTCCTCTCTAGAGGATTGTCTTATGGACATTGAACCCGTCATTGGAATGCATTGCAAGTGTTTAACTATTCTTTTGCTGAACCCTTAACTGGACTACAGTTTTGCAGAAGACACAGCTTTAACTCGATCAGCACTGTGCTTGCATTTGAGTTCAGACTGAGTTAACAGAAATGGAATTTTTCTTCTTGTGACGGGGAAGTGAAAATTTGTGGAATAAACTTTAGAAAATGTTATTGAGGCTGGGGTGTAATGTGCAATGCATGGGAGTGAGCTTCAAAAGATTATTATTAATACTATTGTCATTAATTCTTAATTCAAGTAAGCCTACAGTAGTTAGTGTATGTACGTAAATAGATTATATTGTCATTAGGCCACAATCTGATTTATCTCTTTCTCTATATCTTAGACACCTCTGTAAGTTGGACACACTTTCGTGGAACCCCAAGTGTCCAACTTAAGAGAGGTTTTACTGTATGTGGCATAAACCAGAACCATTATGTCTTTCTAGCAGCCATGCTACCTTTCCTAGTTGAAGGACGCATCTCTGCATAATACACAGCACTGGTACTATTTACTTAATGGACTGTATTTTCAAGATTTGTGCACTGAATGCTACTGAAAAACACATTGAACTGTGCTATGATAATGTTTCTAGTTCTGAATCATGTGCTGCAGAACTCCAGCTCCAACCTCCTTAGACACTCTCTTTTCACAAGTGTCTTGTAGTGCTTGTTATGCTCTTCTCAGGGTTTATAAAACCATTTTTGATACATGATTTTACTAAATTCAGAAGATTATTATGGAGTGGATATTTATAAGTAGGAAATGTGGTGAGTTTTAAATAAAAGTATGGAAATAGTGTATTGAGTGATTTGTTGAACTTGTGCTTGAAAATATATGGCAAGAATATTTTTTTAAAAATATTTAAGCATAAATAATTGGTAAGATGGTGGTTGTAAATTCTTTTTATCAAGATATTCTAACAGCATTGGAATTGTACATGGAGGATATTTTCTGGCTACACCACAGCACAGCCATCCCACTGTGCAGAAGCACCACGTTCGTTCCTTTCTTTCTTATTCACTTAGCTGTGCCAATAGTTAACGTAGCTGTTTTAGATAATGAATGTGTTTCCGATTTACTCAGATATAACCCCCACACTTTAGATTAGTATCACCAGTGCTTCAAAAATAATTCTTCCATGTCACCAATGGTGACTCGATAGTTTCTGCTGGTTGCTAATTTCCCACTATATGGTTTGGCTGTTGAGGTTATGTGTGCAGTTAAATTAAATTACCCACTACTGTTATGTTACAGCCCAGGACAGTGATGTCTGAATTTTCTCCTTTCACTCCCCCAACACACTAGCCCAAAATTTGAGATATTGTAAGTGTTCTGGTTCATTATAATTTTTTTTTTCAATCAAAATATTTGTTGTCTACCAAATTTCCAAAAAAAAAAAAATATATTATTTTCCACAGGAACTGGCCAAATTTGCAGTTTTTGTTGTGTACAAATTCACAGAAGTAGCCAGTACTAATAGCAAGGTTTACTTGGAGCTGCTGTTTTGGAAGACATCTCGGGATGCTTATGACATTGAGCAAGGCTATGGCAGTTACCAGGAGAAGTGAGTATGTTGTGAACTGTATTCAGTTTTAAACATTAATGTCAGCATTTATTGATGATGTTTCTGTACCTTCTGTGAATGTGAATATTGGAATGGTGTTTTAAAATAGGCTACAGCCACTTTCAATCCTTTCCACTTAATCATCCAAAATGATGCTTTCATTTGACAATACATAACCCATGCAGGTGAAGAAGTGCTTTTAATAAACCAAGAATCAGTGTCAGATGATCTGATGATTTTTGCAGGACACATTCAGCGAAACAAGCGTGGGGTGAAGATGAAGAAGAGGAGCTTCGTCGCTTATATCAGGAATTCACAAACAAGGCAGAACAGGACGGCTCTGGCGGTGGAACAGGTGATTATATCATTGATCATATCAGTTCTGTAGCTGTACGTGTGTATGTTCGTAAAAGTGGTGGACACTGCTATGCTATGTGACCATTGATTGATCTTTTATGCATCTTCGTTCTTTTAATTCACTTGTAGCCTTGTACCTAAAGCAGAGTACAGTATGCTTTCTAATGAGATATTTTGATTGTCTCCTGGTCTCAAGAAATATCTACCCAGATGACAAAATTGTTATTCAGCCAAGGCCTCACAGTCACTTAGGATATGTGAGGCTGTTTCTGTTCCATGGTGGCACCAACTGCAAAGTGGGGGTATTTAGTTTTCTGAATTTGAAGAGGTGTCCCCTTAAGTGAATGGCCCTGTTAATAGTTCTTTCATCTATCTTGGAACATACTCAACTTCAGAAACTGAGCAGTTTTTTTAACAGAGAGCTCATTGAGGAAGTTCTTTTTGTGTGTTTCTGTCCTGGAATGGTGAGCTGTGTGATTGCCATTCTGCAGTTTGTCTTTCAGTCGGGATAATTTTTAACATATAATGTGTATCAGTGGGGCTTTTCCCCAGCTCTGCACAAAACTTGATGTTGACACAACATTCCATTATGCAGTTTCTGACGATACACACAGCGCATCCATGCGAAACATCAACCCACTCCCAACTGTTCTTGAGGGGTTTTTGACACAGTAGCAATGAAGATGTTTATCTAAACTGCTTTCTAAATTTTCTGTGCCTGAATATTAACATACAGCATTCCTATGTGTATTACCTATCTCTGTGGTGGTTTTCATAAGAAGAAATGAAGAATCTGTATTACCTTCTCTTGATTTCAAACTTGAAATTATAAAAACAGCAAGCCTTTCAGCATGAGTTTTGATAATGTTCACTGATACAGTTGATAAGATTTAGGCATGTATGTTTTTCCTTTACATTTCAGATGTGGTGGCTTGGATCCTCCAGCACCTAATAAATGACTCTCGATCTCATCGAAGTGTGAGCAAGAAGTTGCGTGAGTTAGGCTATAATGTGGTAACTAAGGTTAGTTTGCACTGCAGTTTCTCCGAGGATGACATTTTAGGTTTGAACAACAACATGGCTTTTATCCTCCTTTACATTTATTTTATTTTTATTTTATTTATTATTAACTGCAAATGGGTTTTTACCCAGTGGCAGTGGTGCTACAATAAGACACAACAAAACAATAAGACCCAAAAAAACATAAGACACAACAAAACAAAACAACACACTCAAAATAAAACAACTCATAAGATTACAAAACCATAAGGCACAAGTACGAGGCGCGTCCCAAAAGTAAGTTTCCCACTCGTCCCACAGCTAGCAAACCTTATATTGCGCGAAGCGACTGTGCGTACGTGATAGAGCAATGACGTAGCATG